AACGCCGCGCTGCGCCACGAACCCCGACCCGAGTTCGATTCCCGCTCACGGCCAACGCCGGTGACAGATTATCTGAACTGGTCCTGAGCTTTGTAGCGCGTCGGATTGCGCCAGTATGAACCAATATTCGTATTCTGACAGGAGTTACGGTGCCAAGTGCGGTGTGTAGTAAACATCGCCACGGGGGAGACAAAGGCAGCCGGGCGTGGTGCTGGCCACCCACCCCCTCGTGTGCCGTGGCGGCCTTCATAGGTGCTGCTGCTGCTACTCGCTAACAGCACTTAGCCCCGACAGTCTGTTACAGGCTACACTGGGGATCGTTGTCGAACTCCCACAGTTATATACACACACACACACGTGTTCGTGTACACACACACATACACAAAACATAAATCCCTCCCCCCCCATATTAGCCTTACACTGTAGGGACAAGTGCTGTTAGCGAGCACCTATTAAGGTCATAACATCACACAGATATTACGGAGTATGGTCAGCCCTATCCTTGGCAGCATATGCACACACCGTTTTATAGGAGTTGATGAGTTCATCATTGGTGTTATGGTAGAGAGAGCGCACCGTAGGAATATGAAATTTCCACTGTCGACTCGAGATCTGCGAGAGGGGATGAGTGCTGCTTCACTCGAGTTTGAGCAAAAAGAACGCCGTTGCCTCTTGACTGCGGTGTTCCGTCTACGGAGTGAGTCTGCACCACATGACGTTTCCAGAACCTCGCTTGTCGTGAAAGCCGTTTGCAGCGATAAAATCAGAAAATTATCCCTCTCAACAAAATGCAAAGAAGAGTGCAGAGGTGCGTGCTTGGAAGGATATTGACAGACTGGATCACGTCCTATTACTGTTTTTAATATTTTTATTTGACCAGTTAAGGCCCACTGAGCCTAATAGCTCTTTTTCATAAGTGTCCTGGCTATCACAAATGATAGCTTAACGATATGGCCTCTGGTGTGGAAGTTTCTATCAGTCCAACACTCTGAATTCATGTTTCTAAACGTGAAGGGAGAAAAATCCATGTGACCACGAGGAGAGACACCGCAAACTCCAAAATATACAGGCATCGAGGTTGGGAATAAACCCACAACCTCCTGAATTCCAGGCGAGGCAGTTAACATATCACCATAGATTAGGGAACAGATTAATCCTTTCCGATGACGTGAATGGGAATAGTACTTCATCGGAATAGAATAGGAATAAAAACTGAATTTAGCTCACTTCGCCGGTACGGAAGCTCCCACAAGGCCATGCGGGAGGGCGCTACTACTACTACCACCACAACTAATACCACTACTACTACCACCACACTATACCACTACTACTACCACATACTACTACCACCATAACTAATACCACTACTACTACCACCATAACTAATACCACTACTACTACCACCATAACTAATACCACTACTACTACCAACTAATACCACTACTACTACCACCATAACTAATACCACTACTACTACCACCATAACTAATACCACTACTACTACCACCATAACTAATACCACTACTACTACCACCATAACTAATACCACTACTACTACCACCATAACTAATACCACTACTACTACCACCACAACTAATACCACTACTACTACCACCACAACTAATACCACTACTACTACCACCACAACTAATACCACTACTACTACCACCACAACTAATACCACTACTACTACCACCACAACTAATACCACTACTACCACCACAACTAATACCACTACTACTACGCCTCTAAATAAAATTAACGCCCAAGCCGCTCGCATGTTCCGAGATTCAGCGGGTGAACCGGGGACGCACACATCCACCCTGAAACTTGCAGCAGACGTCAAACGTCTCAGACACGGAAGAGGGTCAAAGACGCGATATATTTACGAGCAAAAGTTAGCGGCCTTGTGCAGGACAATTCGTCCACGGTCTGGAGGGACAGTGCGCCGGCACTCGAGACTAACCCCGGAGTGGCAGCCAAGGGTGGGAGCGCTTCCCGGAGGATGTCCACCTTGGAGATGGGGAGCGGGATGTCCCCACTCGGCAGGTTCCAGATTCCGTAGCGCAGCGCGACTAACCGCTGCCCCACCACTCCTCCGCCCCAGTTGTACGTACAATGCACTATATGGGTGGAGGTTTTCCTTGGCACGAGTGACTCTTAACGCATTTTATCGAGCGCCTTAAGGCGCTTTACAGAGAATTAACAACGGTACAACAACAGTGTGTGTGTGAATGTAACGGTGGAGGTGAGGTGAACGAAATAGATGAAACAATGGGAGGGGGGGGGGGGGGTGCAAATCTGTGATGATGCGTGAATTTGGTGAAAATTGAAATTGATGACGGTAAATGATGATGAATGGATTGAATGAATGGGGTTGATGAGTGATAGCCGTGTAATGAGATTATGAAGGGGTGAACCCAGGAATGGTGGTGGTCGTTACGAGGGGGAGATTAAGGGCGGAGGGTCGTGGGGTGTTCTGGGGGTAACAAGAAGTGAGTTTTGAGTGAGCAGCGGAAAATTAGTGAGCGAAGGTGACTGCTTAATGCGGAGGGGCAAGTTTGTTCCAGTGAAGGAGGGTGGAGAGCGACAGCGTGGATTGAGCACGAGGAGGAACCGAGAGGGAGAGAGAGACACGGCAAAGCTTGAGAAAACTTCGGCAGTGGTTCTTCACATGGGGTGCACGCAGCCCATGGCGGCGGGTGCGAGATGCCCTTTCTGGGGGGTGGCGAGACACGGCCAGATTTTTTTTTTTAGAAGGTGAATCATCGAAACACAAGGGAAGCCACGGCCACGTAGGTTACAACTTACTTTGTTCCGTCAAACCCTCTGTGTTAACATTTTACATTGTTCTAGATTTGTAGTTTTCGTAACTGCAAGAATCCATACTCTTTGGTTCTTTCGGTAAAGTCACGCAGGTGAAAAAATGTGATAGTTTTCATTAGATTATTTATTTGTTTTCACCTATGTGACTTTACCGAAAGAACCAAAGAGTGTTTTACATTGTTGTTAACGATTGGGCACCAAAGGGAGTTTGCAAGGCTGCAGTAAAGGTTTAGAACCACTGGGTTAGGGCTTGCAATCTCACGGGGGTTTTTTGCCCCCCCTCTTTGAGGCAAAGAGGGGGGGCAGGGCCAGGAGCACGTGGGTTTTTTGTGTCGAGCGAAACCTCTCCGGGAATATTTTTATTTAACATCCCTCCCCCCGCCGCCCATCCCAAGTGGACGAGAGGCTTTGCAGTAATGCCGACGCCTCGGTGTGGGGGTTGGGGGGCGAGCGTTTCATCCCAGCGATGGGATTGATAGTTGCCGATATGATTGATGATGATGATGATTATAGTTTGTTGTCCTTCCGCCCGCACCTCCGATTGAGCACGGTTGGCTACTTGCGGTGCGAAAGAAGTTCTACATCTTCTACATATATATACAAGGGAAATTTGTGAATGTGTGTGTCTGTTGGAAATGTTTAGCATACTTCCCAACATGCATCACACTTGAAATTTGGCATGCGGGTAGCTTCCAGACAGTACACGATGCAAAACGTATAAAAATAGACTTTTGTATTTTGGGGGGGGGGGGGCGCAATAATGGATATATTTTGCACGGCACATCTGTGACGTCACCCGCATGCGGCAGCGTCACGCGGTGTGCCTGCTGACGTCACGCATCCCCCCCCCCAACCCTCTCCGCGTCGGCCGTGAATTAATCCAAGACAAAAATCCAAGTCTCGGGCGAAGCCGGGTAGTAAAGCGAGTACATACTAAACTATAACTACACACACCACACACACTACATTGTACTCTACAATACATTCTACTACATCGAAAACGAATTTCTTTAGAACTGCTTTTCATGTTTAATTTGACCCCCCCCCCCTCCCCGCACCTCCAATGTATCCACGGTTGTCTCCGTACGGTGCAAATAAGTTCAATACGCACACGCGCACATTGCGGCGGCAGAAATGGCTCGGTTTGATCGAGAGAGTGTTGCTACCGGGCCCACAATCGTCAACTCCCGTACGCGATTAGTGCGGCTCAAGCTGGCGGTTGTGATGGTGGAGAAAAGAAGATGTTAACTACCCTCGCCCGGCATGTGTACATACGTGCGTTACGTACATACATACGGCATGTGTACATACATACGTAACGTACATACATACGGCATGTGTACATACATACGTAATGTACATACGTGTGTTACGTACATACATACGTAATGTACATACATACGTAACGTACATACATACGTAACGTACATACATACGTAACGTACATACATACGTAATGTACATACATACGTAACGTACATACATACGTAACGTACATACATACGTAATGTACATACATACGTAACGTACATACGTAACGTACATACATACGTAACGTACATACATACGTAACGTACATACATACGGTATGTGTACATACGTGCGTTATGTACATACATACGTAACGTACATACATACTGTATGTGCACATACATACGTAACGTACATACATACGTAACGTACATACATACGTAACGCACATACATACGTAACGTACATACATACGTAACGTACATATATACGGTATGTGCACATACATACGTAACGTACATACATACGTAACGTACATACATACGTAACGTACATACATACGTAACGTACATATATACGGTATGTGCACATACATACGTAACGTACATACATACGTAACGCACATACATACGTAACGTACATACATACGTAACGTACATACATACGTAACGTACGTACATACGTAACGTACGTACATACGTAACGTACGTACATACGTAACGCACGTACATACGTAACGCACGTACATACGTAACGCACGTACATACGTAACGCACGTACATACGTAACGCACATACATACGTAACGTAATACATACGTAACGTAAATACGTAACGTACATACATACGTAACGTACATACATACGTAACGCACATACATACGTAACGTACGACATCCCTCCTTCCTCCCAACCTCTCCGCCAGTGCCCGTCCTCGCGAGGGCGACAATGGACGAATTCCAGGCGGCGGCGGCGCAGTTCCTGCCGGACGACCCGACGGCTCTCCGCGAGGCGGCGCGCAACCACAACCTCTACCACATGTGGCGGGAGATCTGGGCGCGCAGCGGGCGCGTCACCAAGGAGTGGAACCCCTGTGAGTACGGCGGCGGCGGCGTCGGGGTGGTGTGTCGTGATACCTGATGATAAACACATTTCTGTGGAGGGAGCTGGTAGGAACGTCGGGTTGCTCGGTCAATGGCCTGCAGGGTCAACGGCGGCGTGGTGTATTCCGCAAATATGCCCGACTGTGAGGGCGGCACAAGCCGGCGTGAGTAGGTTAAACGTTGAGTTGTGTAAGGGCACCACGGGGTGACCAGCCCCTCCCCACCCAGCCCCACCCTCCCCACCCAGCCCCTCCCCACCCAGCCCCTCCCTCCCCACCCAGCCCCTCCCCACCCAGCCCCTCCCCACCCTCCCTCTCCACCCAGCCCAGCCCTCCCCACCCAGCCCAGCCCTCCCCACCCAGCCCCTCCCCAACCCAGCCCCTCCCCACCCAGCCCCTCCCCACCCAGCCCCTCCCCTCCCCACCCAGCCCCTCCCCACCCTCCCCTCTCCACCCAGCCCAGCCCTCCCCACCCAGCCCAGCCCTCCCCACCCAGCCCCTCCCCAACCCAGCCCCTCCCCACCCAGCCCCTCCCCACCCAGCCCTCCCCACCCAGCCCCTCCCCACCCAGCCCCTCTCCACCCAGCCCAACCCCACCCTCCCCAACCCAGCCCCTCCCCACCCAGCCCCTCCCCACCCTCCCCTCTCCACCCAGCCCAACCCCACCCTCCCCACCCAGCCCCTCCCCACCCTCCCAACCCAGCGATCAGACAAGTGACGACTATTCCAAAAATCCCTGCAAAGATTGTCGACGACTTTGATTCAACTTCCTCCATTTAAAGACGTACATCCATTGGAAGGCGCTCGATTTAAAGATTTCGTTCTTTTTTTTGATTAGAAATACTAAAAATTAATTTAACTTCATAGTCTCTAGAAGGGGAAGCTCTGCTAACTTTTTTTCGCGTTTTCGATTTCATATTTAGGGGTCATAAAATGCAGATTTTTTCCGTTCAAAACCGTTTGAATCTGAAATATCTCCAACAATAAAAGATAGAACCCAACCAGTTCCCCCTTTAGTTTATGTGCCGTCTAATGCTCTAGCAAACGAAAAAAAACGCACTCTTATATTTTGAACGGTTTCTGAATGACACCAGGCACAATCGTGTTTATGGGGCACTCAAACATCGATATTTGGGGGCCTTTAAAATGAAAAATCTCAGATTTCTCGCCCTGTTGTTTGTGTCCTAAAAGCTCCCTGGGTACCAAATTTCAGCTTTCAACCTTGTCTGGAAGTACCCTAGAGGGGTTTGAGACACAGATTGAAGTCTTTATTTATTTAGATGCACAGGATACAGCGAAGTGTAACACGGTACAGCGATGACGCTCACTCGCAAGGCTCTCCTCTCAAACAACTTCTCTGTGAGTCTCTGGGTCTCTGAGTCTCTGATTCTTTGTGAGTCTCTGGGTCTCTGAGTCTCTGATTCTCTGTGAGTCTCTGGGTCTCTGAGTCTCTGATTCTCTGTGAGTCTCTGGGTCTCTGAGTCTCTGATTCTCTGTGAGTCTCTGGGTCTCTGATTCTCTGTGAGTCTCTATGGGTCTTTGAGTCTCTGATTCTCTGTGAGTCTCTATGGGTCTCTGAGTCTCTGATTCTCTGTGAGTCTCTATGGGTCTCTGAGTCTTTGATTCTCTGTGAGTCTCTATGGGTCTCTGAGTCTCTGATTCTCTGTGAGTCTCTATGGGTCTCTGAGTCTCTGATTCTCTGTGAGTCTCTATGGGTCTCTGAGTCTCTGATTCTCTGTGAGTCTCTATGGGTCTCTGAGTCTCTGAGTCTCTATGGGTCTCTGAGTCTCTGATTCTCTGTGAGTCTCTATGGGTCTTTGAGTCTCTGATTCTCTGTGAGTCTCTATGGGTCTCTGTATCTCTGTGGGTGTCTGCGCATCTCTATGGGTCTCTGTGAGTCTCTATGGGTCTCTGAGTCTCTGTGAGTCTCTGGGTCTGAGTCTCGGATTCTCTGAGTCTCTATGGGTCTCTGTGAGTCTCTATGGGTCTCTGTGAGTCTCTATGGGTCTCTGAGTCTCTGTGCGTCTCAGTCTGGATCTCTATGGCTACCTATGAGTCTCTTCTGTACGGCTGCTGATGCAGTAGATGCGGAGCAACGACTACAATTGTCACAGTCGGGTAGTCAAGCGCGTGTCTACTCCGGCCGCAAGATTCCGTCAATGTTCATTTGGAGGATCCTTGTCCCAGGACCAGTCTGGCACGTTGTTTGACTCTGAAGAGGGACGTTGGCGTGGATTAGCGTTGTTGTTGCTCTGGAGGACGGTAGAGATCGATGATGGATGTTGGTTGTGGTGATGGTGGTAGTGTGTGTGTGTGTGCGTTGTTGTTGCTGCTGCTCTGGAGACCGGTAGAGATCAATGATGGATGGTGGTGGTGGATTTGGTAGTGCGTGTGTGTGTGCATCGTTGTTGCACTGGAGATCGGTAGAGATTGATGATTGATGTTGGTGGTGATGGGTAGTGGTGATGGTGGTGGTGTGTGTGTGTGTGCGTTGTTGTTGTTGCTCTGGCGACCGGTAGAGATCAATGGTCGATGTTGGTTGTGGTGATGATGGTTGTGGTGATGGTGGTGGTGGTGATGGTTGTGGTGATGGTGGTGGTGGTGATGGTTGTGGTGATGGTGGTGGTGGTGATGGTTGTGGTGGTGATGGTTGTGGTGATGTTGGTTGTTGACGCCATTCGTTGCGAATTCTCACTGAACCGAGTGGGGGCGATGCCGGCCAGCTTCCACTCCTCCTCTTGAACAGCGCAGCAGCTTCACAAAACAATCTTGACCAAAGTAATAGATTACTACTTCCGTCAATAACCATCCGTAAGAAAGTCACAAAGAAGAACACTTTATCCAGTAAAACCACGTTATTTTGGGATTTGATGATTCGTAATTGGGGATTCTTTGGCATGGCCGCGCTTTCGGCCTATATCCGTCGATTTGGACTTTACTACCTTGTTTGTGCACTCTGTGCAAGCCAACAGTCTCAGAAATTCCGTCTACACCGACATCAAGAAGTAATCGGTGTGTGCGAGACAAATCCAAAATTTTGGATAGAATTTTTGCACGGTGTTTGTCAATGCCTACGGTGTGTGAAGAGTTTGGAAAACAAGTTTGGATTTGTTTTTTTTAGTGGGGCAGGAGGCGCTGGGGAGTCACCGTTGTAGATAATTCGGAATATTGGATAATTCGGCCAGGCCAGAGCCCCATGTGTGTCGCATTAACCAGGGTTTACTGTATATTTAAAAATAATGGTGAGACCAATATAATGTAGTCAAGACGTATTCACAGTCGGTACTATTCGTGCTTGTGTGGGGCGAAAGAGATACAAGTGTGAAGGGAATGAAGTGACTTGATTGAGCAGCGGGGTATATCGTGATTAATAGTAGCAGCAGCAGCAGTAGTCGTGGTGGTTGTGTAGGTGTGTGTGTGTGTGAGTGTGTGTGTAGGTGTGTGAGTGTGTGGGGAGCGGTGGTGTAGCGGTTAGCACGTTGCGCTACGAAACCGATCACCCGAGTTCGATTCCCACTCACGGCCAACACCAGTGACGATTATCTGAAGCGGTCCCGGGCCTCCGTGAGGTAGACTCAGCCTCAAATTGAGTACCTGGTGCGGTGTGTAAACATCGCCACTGGGGAGACAAAGGCGGCCGGGCGTGGTGCTGGCCACCCACCCCCTCGTTTGTCGTGCCGGCCTTCATAGGTGCTCGCTAACAGCACTTGCTCCTACAGTCTGTTAAGGCTATACGGGGGATCTTTGTCTTCTTTGGAGTGTGTGTATGGTAGGTGCAGAGAGTCAGTACACAGTCTGCCTTCGAGTGCTCCGGTTCTCCTGCCGCGAATGTGTGAACACGCTCGCCAGTTTGGCCGTGAACACCTCGATGTGCGTGCGGCTCCGTGCTTTGCGCATCGCACGGCCACCACTGCGAGAGAGAGAGATGAATTTTCGGCAAAGCGCCGCGACAGCGTTACGCGCCCGACCGTCAACGCCGTCGTCGGTTGCGGCCCATCGGCGCCCCTCGCTTCATTCTTTCCTTCCCCCAGTTCCAGATGTTTGTTCTCCACTTTTGAGAAAGTCATGACACCTCCACTACCCCCCCCCCCCCCTCCACTTTGCAAACGGCGCGATGAATGCGAACAATAAAGCAGCGGCGGCTCGAAGGGGGCACGGGCGCAGAGTGCTCGACCGCTCCACTGGCGGCCGAAGGCTCTCCGCTCGAAACTCAAACTGTTTAAACTATTTTCTATTTAACGAGGCAAGGCCCACTGAGATGTACAGCTCTTGTGCAGAAGCCCTGCCCAGGCCAGCACAAATGATAGGTCAACGAAGTTGGCTTCTCACGTGGACATTTATTGCGGCAAAAAGTTCTAAACCGGTGGTTCTTAACCGTTTCTCCAGCCTTGCACCGCTTTGGTTCTCAGGAAAGGCATCTCGCAGTCCAGGTTAAGAACCACTGCTCTAAACGTGTGATGTTGATTGTAATTATGGAGAGAGAAAAAACGGAGGACCGGGAGAAAAATCCACGCGACCACGGTGAGAGAGAGAGACGCAAACTCCAAATATACAGCAGCAGGCGTCAGGGTCGGGATCGAACTCGCAACCTCCTGTATACCAGGCGAGGTAGTCAACATCTCCTAGCCACCGTGATGATAATGATGAGAGAGAGAGACACGCAAACTCCAAATATACAGCAGCAGGCGTCGGGGTCGGGATTGAACTCGCAACCTCCTGTATACCAGGCGAGGTAGTCAACATCTCCTAGCCACACTACCGAGCGGGTATTTCTTCCCACGAAGTTTTGGACAAAAACGTGGACCAACCGTGTGGTGAACTCATTTACACGGCTGGTTGGATAGTGGGGGTGGCGGGAGGGGGGTGGGGGTCGGGGTTTTGGCGAGGTCGTGGGGTCGATCCCGACCCACAGGAGTCGGGTGGTTTACTGAAGGCGTGAGCTGATTGAGAGATCGTAGAAATTGTCCCGCTACCAACGATGCTCAACTCACCTGGTGGTTACCGCATGACACGGATAATCGGGAAGTGAAAACAAGCCCTCCGATTGGTTACTTAACAGGCCTGAAAGGGGATTTAGTGGTTTGCAGGGAATTGAAGGGATTGGAGGAGAAATACAAAATGGAAAAAGCGGGGAAATGGAGGATGATTGACAGGGTGGACTGTTGGCATTCGTTAGAAGTGGGAAGGTGATTGGCTGGAGGCAATGCGGAAGCTCAAGGAACCTTCGCGAGAGGGGCTTGAGGGATGTATAAGCGCACGTGTCAATCCTTACGCTTTACCCATATTCTTGTGCTTCACAGAGGGGCGAGTCTTTAGCCAACTCAAAACGTACAGATTTGATCTTTGCCAGCCAAATGTTTCCAGCGAAATCCGACCGATGTCAGAAAACAGACGCCACTTGGTGGCCGTTATTTTTTCCCGCCTTTGGTGAGAAACAGACCTCGCCAGCCGGAGTTCTTCTGCCGCGGCAAGAACCCCCGATAGGGGGGCAGCCTTTGAGACTCTGCGAGGCTTCAGGAGATTATACGTTGCACTGGGGATCTGTGGGGGCGGGGGGGGGGGGGGGAAGAGGTTAATAGCTCTTCAGATTCCTGCAGGATATAAATATTCGGATTCTAAATAAATATTCTCATAACAAACCTCCCCTGTGCCTCCTTTTGTGTTTGGCGTCCTTGGTTAGTCCACTGCTGGATGAGGGCCTTGTCCTGTCATGCGAGTCTAGGGGGGTGGGGAGTTATTGAATCGTACTTTACCACCACGCTGGACAACCAGTTAGGTCCCCCCCCCCCTCCCCCCCCCCGTGTAATTGAAATGTTTTCTTAACCTCTCGTATCTCTCCCCCACCCCCATCCCCTCCCCTATGCCACCCCATTCCTACTCGTACCATACCACCATCACCCATCCGCCCGTGTGCCACCCTGTGTTTGTGCCGTCCCCAACCTCCCGTGTCTCAATACCTCCCCACGCCAACATCTCATCTCCCCGTGCCACCCCATTCCTACTCGTGCCACCACCACGACCACCACCCGCCCACCTCTGTGCCACCCGACCCACGTGTGTGTCGCCCATCCTCCTTTGTGGCCACCGCCTGCCCTTCCCCGCACACCCCTTCTCGTGATGCCACCGCCCACCGTTTGATGTCCACGCCGCTTGCCCTGTGCCCCCATCGCGACCTCCTCCTGCCTGTGCCAACCACCCGCCTGCGCCACCACCACCGCTTTTCCATGCTCCCACCTCCACGTTTCCCCGTGCCACGCCCTCTTCGTACAACCGCCCCATCTCCGTACCCACTCCGCTCGCATCTGTGCCACCTCCACATTCCCCCCGGGCCACTCCTTCAACCCATCTTCGTGTGCCTCCCACCTCGCTGCACCACCACCACCACCCCTCCCCCTCCGCTGACCCCCACCGCAGATGGGCTGGAGAGCCCCCAGGCCGACCCCATGCCCAGCATGCCCAAGGGCCCCGGGCCCGGGCCGGGCGCCCCCTGCGTGGCCCAGATGGGCAAGGAGAGCCCCATGTCGGCGGGCGTCCACGGCATGCAGCCGCCGCCTCCGCCGCTCAGCGTCGGCATGGACAAGGCCAAGGACCCCGGTACGTCGTCGTCGGCGTCACAGTGATGTGCGCTGCCGCTGGGAGCCGCCCACACGACCGCCCACACGGCCGCCCACACGGCCACCGCCTTCAGTCTGCGTCTGCAGTTCTAAACAAATTAGTTTTCAATTTGGTGGAGTGTAGTTTAGTGTATAATGTCATGTATTGTGTAGTGTATATTGTAGTGTATTGTCTAGTAGAGTGTCGTGTAGTATGTTTGTGCGTTGAGCTTCTATTGCACCTTGCGTAGCCAACCGTGCTCATTGGTGGTGCGGGGGACAACAAACGAAACACAACAGACAGTTATAAAGAATGAGTTTTCAATTTAGTAAGTGGTGTAGTGTATAGTGTAGTGGATTGTAATGTAGTGTGTAGTGTGGTATGGTGTAGTGCAGTGTGTAGTAGTGTATAGTGTAGGATGTGTGTATGTTGAGCTTAGTAAATACTCGCAGCAGTGTTAACCAGGGCAGCTGTGGGGCTTGAACCGTGAACATCTGCAACACGTCACCACCACCACCTGTCCCACGTCACCACCACCACCACCTGCCCCACGTCACCACCACCACCTGCCCCACGTCACCACCACCACCACCACCACCTGCCCCACTTCACCACCACCACCACCTGCCCCACGTCACCAACCACCACCTGCCCCACGTCACCACCACCACCACCTGCCCCACGTCACACCACCACCTGCCCCACGTCACCACCACCACCTGCCCCACGTCACCCACCACCTGCCCCACGTCACCACCACCACCACCACCTGCCCCACGTCACCACCACCACCACCTGCCCCACGTCACCACCACCACCACCACCTGCCCCACGTCACCACCACCACCTGCCCCACGTCACCACCACCACCTGCCCCACGTCACTACCACCACCTGCCCCACGTCACCACCACCACCTGCCCCACGTCACCACCACCACCACCTGCCCCACGTCACCACCACCACCTGCCCCACGTCACCACCACCACCTGCCCCACGTTACCACCACCACCACCTGCCCCACGTTACCACCACCACCACCTGCCCCACGTCACCACCACCACCTGCCCCACGTCACCACCACCACCTGCCCCACGTCACCACCACCACCACCTGCCCCACGTCACCACCACCACCTGCCCCACGTCACCACCACCACCACCTGCCCCACGTCACCACCACCACCACCTGCCCCACGTCACCACCACCACCACCACCTGCCCCACGTCACCACCACACCACCACCACCACCACCTGCCCCACGTCACCACCACCACCTGCCCCACGTCACCACCACCACCACCACCTGCCCCACCTGCCCCACGTCACCACCACCACCACCACCTGCCCCACGTCACCACCACCACCACCTGCCCCACGTCACCACCACCACCACCACCTGCCCCACGTCACCACCACCACCTGCCCCACGTCACCACCACCACCACCTGCCCCACGTCACCACCACCACCTGCCCCACGTCACCACCACCACCTGCCCCACGTCACCACCACCACCACCTGCCCCACGTCACCACCACCACCACCACCTGCCCCATGTCACCACCACCACCTGCCCCACGTCACCACCACCACCACCTGCCCCACGTCACCACCACCACCACCACCTGCCCCACGTCACCACCACCACCTGCCCCACGTCACCACCACCACCACCTGCCCCACGTCACCACCACCACCTGCCCCACGTCACCACCACCTGCCCCACGTCACCACCACCACCACCACCACCACCACCTGCCCCAAGTCACCACCACCACCTGCCCCACGTCACCACCACCACCACCTGTCCCACGTCACCACCACCACCACCACCTGTCCCACGTCACCACCACCACCACCACCTGCCCCACGTCACCACCACCACCACCACCTGTCCCACGTCACCACCACCACCACCACCTGCCCCACGTCACCACCACCACCACCTGTCCCACGTCACCACCACCACCACCACCTGTCCCACGTCCCACCACCACCACCACCTGCCCCACGTCACCACCACCACCCCACCTGCCCCACGTCACCCACACCACCACCACCTGCCCCACGTCACCACCACCACCACCTGCCCCACGTCACCACCACCACCACCACCTGCCCCACGTCACCACCACCACCTGCCCCACGTCACCACCACCACCACCACCTGCCCCACGTCACCACCACCACCTGCCCCACGTCACCAACCACCACCTGCCCCACGTCACACCACCAACCACCTGCCCACGTCACCACCACCACCTGCCCCACGTCACCACACACTGCCCCACGTCACCACCACCACCACCTGCCCCACGTCACCACCACACCTGCCCCACGTTACCACCACCACCCTGCCCACGTTACCACCACCACCACCTGCCCCACGTCACCACCACCACCTGCCCCACGTCACCACCACCACTGCCCCACGTCACCAACCACCACCTGCCCCACGTCACACCACACCACCTGCCCCACGTCACCACCACACCACCTGCCCCACGTCAACACCACACCACCACCTGCCCACGTCACCACCCACCACCACCTGCCCCACGTCACCACCACCACCACCACCTGCCCCACGTCACCACCACCACACCTGCCCCAACGTCACCACCACACCACCTGCCCCACGTCACCACCACCACCTGCCCCACGTCACCACCACCACCACCACCTGCCCCCCCACCTGCCCCACTGCCCCACCACCACCACCTGCCCCACGTCACCACCACCACCACTGCCCCACGTCACCACCACCACCTGCCCCACGTCACCACCACCACCTGCCCCACGTCACCACCACCACCACCTGCCCCACGTCACACCACCACCTGCCCCACGTCACCACCACCACCACCTGCCCCACGTCACCACCACCACCACTGCCCCACGTCACCACCACCACCACCACCACCTGCCCCATGTCACCACCACCACCTGCCCCACGTCACCACCACCACCACCTGCCCCACGTCACCACCACCCACCACCTGCCCCACGTCACCACCACCACCTGCCCCACGTCACCACCACCACCACCTGCCCCACGTCACCACCACCACCTGCCCACGTCACCACCACCCCACCACCTGCCCCACGTCACCACCACCACCACCACCACCACCTGCCCCAAGTCACCACCACCACCTGCCCCACGTCACCACCACCACCACCTGTCACGTCACCACCACCACCTGTCCCACGTCACCACCACCACCACCACACCTGCCCCACGTCACCACCACCACCACCACCTGTCCCACGTCACCACCACCACCACCACCACCTGCCCCACGTCACCACCACCACCACCTGTCCCACGTCACCACCACCACCACCACCACCTGTCCCACGTCACCACCACCACCACCACCTGTCCCACGTCACCACCACCACCACCACCTGCCCCACGTCACCACCACCACCACCTGCCCCACGTCACCACCACCACCACCACCTGCCCCACGTCACCACCACCACCACCACCACCTGCCCCACGTCACCACCACCACCACCTGCCCCACGTCACCACCACCACCACCACCTGCCCCACGTCACCACCACCACCACCTGCCCCACGTCACCACCACCACCACCTGCCCCACGTCACCACCACCACCACCTGCCCCACGTCACCACCACCACCACCACCACCACCTGTCCCACGTCACCACCACCACCACCACCACCACCTGTCCCACGTCACCACCACCACCACCACCACCTGCCCCACGTCACCACCACCACCACCTGCCCCACGTCACCATCACCACCACCACCTGCCCCACACCACCACCACCACCACCTGCCCCACGTTACCACCACCACCACCTGCCCCACGTCACCACCATTGCCTGTCCCACGTTACCGCCACCACCACCGCCTGTCCGTCTGTGTGGTCCGTCCGCCTGTGCGTCAGTTCGTCAAGTCGCACGGCAATCGCCCGAGTGCTCGCTTGGGCCGACAACCCCATTGGCTGTGGCCGGCTCATCTCGGCCAATGATCTCAAATTTGCTGCATCTGGCGCCGACTTACTGGCAGCGGAAAGCCGTCCGTGGAGTTCCAGCAGCTCTCCGTAGGCTCGGCCACGTGGATGGGAGCCAGTTAAAGCGATTTGGGGGGATTCTCGTGTCCCATCCGCGCGGAGTTTGGGGCGTCGTACCCATGGCAGGTTCTTTTATTTATCTGGTGTGCTCCAACTAATGGAGTTGGCCAAACGTCCAGTTGTAGCACGATGATGATGAGTCTTGTGACCTGCTTTGGCCAGTGGAACGCCCCTCTCCCTTGGAGCTGTGATGCACTTTTAAATCATCATCTAGATTGTCGAACGCCATTCTTTAAGAACTGCTTTTTGTGTGTTAGTTTGTTATCCTTCCCCCGCACCTCCGATCAGCGTGGTTGGCTACGTACGGTACAAACGAACATGCATACGTACATAACCGTAATGATACCGCGGGAGCCAAGCCATAGCTGAGAATGCGACCCTCACTCAACCTGGTCACCAATCACTGCACAGACACCAACTGAAAGTGTTTTTTTTTCTTCCATTTTGGCAAAATTCCAGCTCTGGGGTTATTAGTTCTGGGTGTGCGAGTTAATGTTGGTCGTCTTTACCTCACCACGGTGACTCGGAGAAGTTAACTACCTCGCTTGGTATGCAGGAGGTCGTGGGGTTTATGCCGACCCTGACGCCTGCTGCTGTATATTTGGAGTTTGCGTCTCTCATCATCATCATCACGGTGGCTAGGAGATGTTAACTACCTCGCCTCATGTACAGGAGGTCATGGGTTCGATCCAGACCCTGACGTCTGCCGTATATTTGGAGTTTGCGTCTCTCTCATCATCACCACGGTAGCGAGGAGATTTTGATTACCCTCGCCTGGTATGCAGGAGGTTTTGGGTTTGATCCCGACCCTGACGAATGCCTGCTGCTGTATATTTGGAGTTTGCGTGTCTCTCTCATCATCATCACGGTGGCTAGGAGATGTTA